GGTAAACGAACCTAGGATGTGAGTTAAAAATCTAGAGGAAAGAGAGGTAAAAGGGGGTGTGCGCTTGTGAAAAATGAATGCTCTCCAGGATGGAGTGGATGCTGCTGAGACAGATGAGGAAATGATGCTGATGCTGAAGCTGTTATGGCTGTGACAGCCTCAGCCACAGTGACGAGTCTCCTGCAGGAAAATGCAGCGCAAAGGATGGTGAAGGAGGGAGACGGGGAGGAGGTGGAGCAGCAGACAGCCTCATTCACACATGCATGCTTCTGCCTCAGCACACATGATGGTGCAGACCTGGCAGGCAGATTGGGGGAGGGGATGTGAAGGTCAGCATAACAGTTTTGCACAAACAGCTGATCCAATAGTGACATCCAGCGTAAAGGAAAGGGACAACAGCTTTGTCATGAAACATTCTTATCTGCAGAAACAGAGACGGCAATGGTACCATTGCCGGCCATGCATCATTGATTATGCTGCATTGCCACCATGTGACGGCACATGGTTATGACAAAATACAGTAGGATCATCTTCGGTAACCCTCTTTGCAAATTCCATGTGTAAACAAACTTCACAGACTGCATATATAAGAGCTTTAATTACATGCATCCTTGACACAGCTAGGTAAGACGCTCAATAAAATGAGGGATGAATTTCATAAATCTGTATTCATTGTGGGTGCTGGTTGCTGCTTATCTAGTTTCTAATGTTTTAGCGATGTCTTGTGTAGACTCAAAAGCTGAAAATACAAGATAATCCAGGGAAATTCAAAGAAAATGTCACTCAGACAATAGCAATACAGCATTTAATCCATAAGTTAGCAGACAGACCTCTTAAGTGAGGACCATCATTATTGTGTACTTTTCCATTCAGGTGACACTAGGTCTCTTCTGGGGACTCTGACCCCAGTGACCTTATATTTTTAGCACTAATGTAAAACAAGAGGTTTATTGTTGTTTATCTGTCATTGCTCTACTCCAGTTATGTCAGATGTTCACTCATTTTCTTACACTGCCATAGTTGTACGGCAGGGATGTTCTTGCCATCTGTAGAGGCTGAAGCCACTGAGGTGTTCATTGACGGGGGTGACGCGATGTCACTGGTATGCATGAATTCATTAAACAGTCGAATAACTCCAGCCTTACTTATTGACAATAAGAAGGGCACATTCTGGCTTGACTGGTTGACACCTCAAGATAGAAGTGGTATTGTCAGTTAGTCCAGAGAGAAATCTGTGACATTGCATGATGAACTTTCTTCTCGTTTAGATCATGAGGACTAACCCTAACTGCCCTAACCCAGAACTGCAAACATTTATGATAACTGGCAAGTCTGGCGAGTCTTTCAAATTGTTGTGGAAGAATTTTGCCCCACTCTTCTTTACAGAATTTGCAAATTGCATTGCAGTTTTCAAGCATAAATGGCTTGTTTAACTTCATGCCAAAACATGTCAATTGGACTCAGTTCAGACTTTTTTCACTCCAAAACCTACCGTTTGTTTTGTGAGCCATTCAGAGATGGACTTGCCTGTATGTTTCGGATCATTGTCCCACTGCATAAACCAAGTGAGCTTGAGCTTTAGGATACAAACTGGTGGAAATCCTCTTTTAGGATTTTCTGGTAGAAAACAGAACATTCATCAATTACGGCAAATTGTCCAGGTCCTGAAGTGGCAAAGCAGCCTCTGACCATCACACTATCACCAACATGTTTGATTGTTGCTTTGATGCTCTTTCTATGAAATGCTGTGTTAGTTTTATGTAAAATGTAACAGAACTTAAACTTTCCAAAAAGTCCAACTTTAGTCTTGTAGTCCACAGAATATTTACCTAAAAGACTCTGTGTGTTTTTTTTTGGTCAGGAGTGGTTTTCGCCAAGTCTCCAATGGATGCCATTTTTGCCCAGTTGCTTTCTTATTGTTGAATCATGAACTCCGACTTTAACTGAAATAAGTGAGGCCTGCAGTTCTTTTGATGTTTTTCTGGTTTCTTTTGTGGCCTCCTGGATGACTTGTGAGTGTACTTCTGGAGTGATTTTGGCAAGCTGGCCACTCTTGGGAAGGTTCACCACTGTTCCAAATTGTCTCTATTAGTGAATAATGGCTCTCACTGTGATTCACTGGAGTCCCAAAGCCTGGGAAATGGTTTTTAACCATTTCCAGACTGGTAGATGACTTTGTTTCTCATCTGTTCTTGAGTTGCTATGTGTGTGGCCAAATACAAAGTTCTACAGGCAGGATGGAGATGCAGCCCAGTGACTGCGTAGAGCTAGCGCCAACTTGTGGGTGGAGCATTTTGGTGACGTTTTGATGAACTGTGACATACTATATTGCTGAAAATATTCACTCACCCATTGAAGTCAAGTCATTGAATTTAATCACTTCCATGGCTATGTGTGCTACTTGTCTGCTAGCTAGCTAATGTCCAGCTAACTTCACTCAGAGATGGAGAAAGAAAGACAGGTCAGGACAGGAATACCTAGTTAAAGGTAAGGACTGGTCAGTGGTATTTAATAAACTGGAAATATATGCAAGTTCTCAATTGTTAAATCTGATTTTGGATATGTATTTGATGTGAATTTATGTTATTCTAAATTGAGAGAAATCCTGTAAAACAAACTACAGTGTGCTAACTCTACGGGAGGGGATTAGGGCCACTGGGGGGGAAAAAGGATTCTGAGATTGATGTCAGAATTCTAACTAGTCAGAATTCTAACTAGTTAGAATTCTGACTAGTTAGAATTCTGAGAGAAAAGTCAAAATTCTGAGATTAAAATAAGCATTTTGACATTTTCTCAGAATTCTGAGTCAGATTTCTAAACACTTTTTCAGAATTCTCTTTCTCAAAATTCTAACTTTAATCTCAGAATTCTGAATCAGAATTCTAACTTTAATCTCAGAATTCTGAGAAAAAAGTCAGAATGCTTATTTTAATCTCAGAATTCTGAGTGTGAATTCTAATTTTAATCTCAGAATTCTGAGTCAGAATTCTGACTTTTTTTTTCTTCAGAATTCTAACTTTAATCTGAGAATACTGAGTCTGAATTCTAACTTTAATCTCGGAATTTTGAGTCAGAATTCTGACTTTTTCTCAATTCTGGCTATAATCTCAGAATTCTAACTTTAATCTCAGAATTCTAACTTTAATCTCGGAATTCTGAGTCAGAATGCTGACTTTAATCTCAGGATTCTGAGAAAAATGTCAGAATTCTTACTATAATCTCAGAATTCTGAGAAAAACGTGAGAATTCTGACTTTAATCTCAGAATTCTGAGTCAGAAGTCTGAGTGTAATTTCAGAATTCTGAGTGAGAAATCTAACTCAGGATTCTGAGAAAAATGTCAGAATTCTTACTATAATCTCAGAACTCTGAGAAAAACGTGAGAATTCTGACTTTAGTCTCAGAATTCTGACTCTGGATTCTGACTTGTTTTTTTTTTTTTAGAATTCTGAGTCGGAATTCTGACCTTAATCTCAGAATTCTGAGTCAGAAGTCTGAGTGAGAATTCTGACTTTTTTCTCAGAAATCTGACTATAATCTCAGAATTCTAATTTTAATCTCAGAATTCTGAGTCAGAATTCTGACTTTTTTTTCCTTCAGAATTATAACTTTAATCTGAGAATACTGAGTCTGAATTCTAACTTTAATCTCGGAATTTTGAGTCAGAATTCTGACTTTTTTCTCAATTCTGGCTATAATCTCAGAATTCTAACTTTAATCTCAGAATTCTGAGAAAAAAGTCAGAATTCTGACATTTTTCTCAGGATTCCGACTTTATTCTCAGAATACTGGATTCTGAGATACAATAGGGCCACTGGGGGAAAAAAAGAATTCTGAGATTAAATTCAGAATTCTTACTAGTTAGTTTGTTAGTTTGCTGAAGTGTGATGGACAGTGTGCTGGGTGGAGCTGGATTACATAAAGGATAGCAGAGATAAAAATGAATTTAGCTGAGTGGCATTCACTGAAATTAACCTTCATAGCTACTTTATACCATCTAGTATAAACAAAATATTGTCAGTGTATAAGATGGAAATCAGCCAAGACCATTCATGAAACATCTGCTTACATCTAGTTGAATTCAGTCGTGCAAATCCACACAGAGCAGTAAACCTAATAGTAGCAGCAGTAGGCCAGATCAGCTGGTCACAGCCTATACACTAAGAAACCCCACTGGAGCTCACAATAAAATTTTTCAGCTGTGATTCTTTACCCAATGCTGTGCTACTACGACCAATTTTAGGGTTCCCCCACCTGCCAAGTTTCAGTTTAACACTCCCCTTTTTTCCATAACTGATTCAAGCAGTGTAGATTCATAAGGACTCATTAGACTGAAATAAAGTTTGCATTCCCATTTGTATTCCCACACTATGTTAATGTGATTTTAATTACATGAATATAACATAAGGTTCAACTAGCTTTCCACAGAAATAGCTGGTAGAAACATCTTCAAAAGAGCTACTTTGAGTAAGTTTCAGAGCCCGTACTTTTTCCACTTTTACTTAAGTAATGAAGTTGAATCAATACTTTAACTTTCATAAAATTTCTGTACTTTTGCTTCCTCTACAAAGCAGCTGCCATCCAAGCCTTACATCAGCAAGTGCAACGCACTGAATGCAGTGGTGTAAAGCACACCACTACTGGACTCTAGAGGAGTGGAAACATGTCCTTTGGAGTGATGAATCACACTTCTCTGTCCGGCAATTCCCAGAACGGTGCTTGTGTGACTGCATTGTACCAAGTGTAAGTTGGGACAACTCCTCCCCCCCAAAAGTTAGGTGGAGGGGGAATTATGCTACAGGGCTGTTTTTCAGGAGTCGGGCTCGGCTCTTGCAGAAAGCCTTCCCAGATGAGTTGACGCTGTTGTAGCTACAAAGGCTGGGCCGACATGTTCAAGCCTATCGATCAAGAATGAAATGTTACTCAGTTGCATCTACGTGTGATGGCAGATGAGCAAATACTTTTGGCAATATAGTTTATAACACAAACCATGGCAGGACAAGTGTTTTCACTCTTTATTCCAAGCAGAATGACAATACAGTGCTTTGCCCTCATTTGCTACAGACAGGCTGGCAAAAAGTCAACAGGTGAACTTTTAAAATCTTTTATCCAAAACGGAAAAAAAGTAATTCTCAAAACCTGTTTAGTAATACAAACAGTGCCGTACTAAAAAGGTATGATATGAAGTGTGCTGCTCAGAGCACAGAAGTCGACATATCAGACCTTTGCCAAGCTCAGGAGTGACAAGATGAGCACCTGCTGTTGTGCTGATGGACTTAGAAAAAAGCAGTTTGACATTCTGATCAGCAGTAGAAGGCTGGTGTGATAAATCCATTGCGACAGAGCTGACACATACAGACAGTTCATTCCTAGTCAAGTTATTTGGTCACTTCTTTTTTTCCCCTCCCCTTCTCACCCAATACAATCTTCTTAGAAAAATAACTTGTGAGGAAGAGTGAACCATAAACCCCAGCTGACAAGACAAGACCTGGTTTTGAATGGTCAAACAGATCTGTTGTAAAACAAAGTGCACTGTGTATAACTATTGGTAAATCTAATGAATCTTAGTTTTTTCCTCTCGTTTTGGTTACAAACTCGACCACATACTCTAGCATAGAGTTAAAATATAGTCTTCTCTCTGAGATACAAAAGTAGCAAAAAAAATATACACAATGGACAACACAAAAATTGACTAAGTGGTGAAAATTTGAAATGTGGAGGAATTTGCTACTAAACATGCCTGAATTACAACAAATGCTTCCCCGTCATATCACAAAAGTTACATTATTATTGTAGAATATGACATTTAGACTATGTCTCGATACGGTATGGCAACGGCACAGTGAGGTGGGACACTGTGTTACAAGCACCAAGTACGTTCCTTTTATCGCTGAGGTCGGGATGTTGAGCCCCTCCACACCTGTGGAGGCTTGTGGAGTGAAAACTGAAGGGAAGAGTCCAGATTAATGATTTTATACATATTGGCAAATGGTGATGTGTATGAAACTGTATAAATGTATAAAAAAAAAAAAAAGAAGAAGAAGAAAATCTCACATTCATGACTTCCAGAGTCAGTAACTTGCTATGTAACCCAACAAAATTCAGATTTTTAGAAATGCAGAAAAAGAGGTTCACCGAAAATGAGCTACAATCTTCAGCTGGAGGACGTGATGGACAAATCACTTCAACATTCTCATTGATTTGATTGTGACATCGCCGATTCAAGTCTCCCACCTTCTTACAAGAAATGAAATCTATCCAACACCCCTTCTCACCACAATATAGATCAACATTGTTTTTTTAAATTTACATCCACACATCAATAGTGACTGACATCAATAATTTTCGAACAGTACAAAAACAAAAAAAAAAAAGCCTCATGGAATTATGTGACACAGAGACAACCCCTTATAACGTGACAACATTAGCATTCTTACGTTAACTTTTGCATAACACGGAGCACAGCAGCAAACACACGAGCACAATGCAACAGGGAGGAGTAGCAAGTAATTTAGGACATCCACAAACAAACACGCAAACAAGTCCCAGGCTGCTGCTGTTACCCTGCACAACCACATGGTGGCAGGAGAGGGTGCAGTTTTGCTAACTGTTCAGGGAAAAGGAAAAAAAAAAACCCACAAGTGCCATGAAAGGTTTGGTGATGAATGATGTCTGGGACAAAGAGGGATGTGGAACAACTGAGAGAAGAATAAATCAGCATGCAGAGAGAGATCTGACATGCTACGCTGACAGATAAGGGAAACAAAGCTCGACACAATTGTGAGGGTAAAAGAAAGTAGGAGGAATAATAGACTCATTGTACTGTATATATTTATATCTATGCTCTTTGAACCTCCTTGTACTCTCACAAATGTGTTTAAAGTGACCAAATATAATCAGTTTAAAGGGGAAAAAAAGGGCATCTATGAATTAAGGCAGGGTGGCTAAAATACTGCACATCCCTCTTCAGATTTCCCCCGCCTCTCTCCTTCAGCTGATGGTTGTGTGTAAGGCTTTGTAAAAACATCACTTATGCTTCTTTTTTTCCAGTTTTTCTAAATCTAAACACCTTTCTCCTTTGGCTCCTAGCCTGCTGCTGTGTTGTTACCTGTAAGGCAAAGGTGTGTCACATACAAACATACAATAAACAGGCAAAATTCATGCGTACTCACGCTCATGCACACGCACGCACACCTAAAGGGCTGAGCTTGAAGGCTATCCCCCTTACTTGGCCAGACCACAAAATGTACATAAATGTTTCCGACAAACATTTACAAAGAAGCGAAAAAAGGGGACGCAAAAGTGGAGGACCAGGCAAGAGTGTCAGACTGAAAATGAGACGAGGAAATACAAAAAGGTTCAACAGTTCAAACGGCACAGCTCCACAGTGCGAGAAGCATTTTCGCACATGGTTCTCCTTTTGCTCATAAACTTTTTCAAGTAAGAGTCTGAGCAGGGAATTTGCTGAATCAAACCAAAAAAAAAAAAAGAAAAAAAAATGAGACAAGTATGTGAATTAGGAGTAAGGGCAATACTATCTAAAGGGTTTTTCACTCAGGTGTAGCCCAAAAATGCACATGGTGAACTTAGCATGGAGTGTCCATGCTTCAGATGTGTTTGAACATGTCTGCGTTGTGTAATTCGCGGATCTCTAAGATGCAGAAGCTTCAGAGTCTGCATCTGTGTTCACACTGAGGTTTCCGGCCCAGGAGCGTAGTAGGCGAACCCTGCCCCAGAGAGACGGAGCATGTAAGGGCTGAGAGGACACAATTCTGTCCCTCCGCTCTCTGCCAAATGGGCCAGGAGTTTCTGGGGTAGAGGGTCAGACCTGCAGAGCGACAGTGACTCTGCGGTGCCAAGGTGGAGGTGAGAGGAGTCCGCGCTCGTGCCTTTGCAGGATCGACAGAAGGACAGTGGAGTCACGGCCGCCACGCTACCCGGCAACAGCTTCTGATGATCCTGCACAAAAACAGAGAATCCACAGTCATAAGACATTTCAAGCGATAGAAGAGGAAACTGGAGGAAAAGAAACATGCAGGTGAAATTATAGAATTTGCGAGAAAATCTGACACATGCACACGAAAGGCAGAATTATTTTCAGAAGGTTTAATATACTTATTTGGTGGTCTGCATATTTATTTATTTCTTTTTTAAATGTGAAAAGTAACCTTGACTCTACTTTAAATGCTGAAAAGAACATACTCAATAACAATAAACCTTCTGAAAACAACCCATCATGATTAGCAATCATGTTCGATTAAGCATGCTTGTGTAATGAAGACAAAACTCACTTGCAATTCTATGTTTCAGCACCAGATGGCGCCAGTGTACACTTATTACAGACACTGATGCACAACCTGGTTTGCCAAATTGCCAGAGACAAACTAAATGTCACCCCTGAGTTTAATTTGTTAACATGAGTGCTGGAAGTAACCTACTTGGGGCCTTTCCTAATAAAATATAACCTTAGTTACAGACTCCACTTATCAAATCTGTATTAAACCTGTAGCCTCTCTGGGTGAAACTAGCGCTGCTGACTTAATTGGAGATTGTGATTCCTGAAAGTAGCTTTGGCAGAAGGAAATTCTTCATGAAGCAGCACTGCACCCCCGTCACTCTGAGCCACAGCACAATTGCATGCCGCATGCAGTGCAAAGCAGCAGGAAGCATCATGGCATCAGCATTAAGAGCCCAACACCCCACTATCCACGCCCTTTGTGTGCCGTTACCATGGTGACCCTAGCCCCCTTGTTGTGGGTACTCTAGGGTTTGCTGAGTAGGGTGCTGTGACTATGTGGTACCAAGGAGTCAGAGCTTCTAGCAGCTTTTTTTCCACTGTCTCCTTCACAGGTCCTATCAGGGTGGAGTGGGTCCCTTTCACGGCCTCCACCTCCACCACCAGAGCCAGGAGCCAGGCTGTCCTCCAGAACCTGCACAGAACTTACCCTCTGTGGATGATGTTAAAGGACAGGGGTTGATGAAGGAATCTGCTCAACCTTTTGTCTTTTGTCTAGTAATGCTTCAATACTTTAAGCTGATTTAAAAGAAATATGGATATTTAATTTTGGGGTGAACGGTCCCTTTAACAGCTGTCTAATTCCCAGACGTGGTCTGGGATTGCAAATCTTTTCCATAAATCAGATTTGTGCTATCATGTAAGGCTGCTATGGTTTGGTGATGTTTGAAAAACTCCAGGACTATTTGTCATTAAATATACAGCTACTCTTGGCTGCTCCCTTATTCACAAGGGGTGAACCACAGTGGATGGCTTTGCATATTTGATATGCAGATTTTTACACTGCATGCCCCCCTACACCCAAACGGATTTGTGGATTTGTGTCTCCTCCTGGGATTGACCTGGGGATTTTTAGCTTGTTAGGCAAATGTATAAACTGCTACACTATTTGTCATTAAATTCAATTTTAGAATTGTTGGCCAAGGCAACAAACATCTAAAAATGGATCAAAAACAATTAAAAAACCCCAAGAATACTTGCTTAAAGTGACATGAAAGTTACTCATACTGGAGCAACTAGAACCAAAGGTCGTTTTGAATTTTTAAACCGAACAGCTAATAATTGATTCACTTTTTGACTAATAAACCAGCTACAAATAAATAAGGAAAGCTAAACTGGTATTTTCTAGAGGAAACAGTGTGCAAATTTCTGTAAAATTCAACTGTTTCAGGTAAAACCTAATATGACAAAACGACACACCATTTTAACAACATATAGATGAGACTGGCTGGAACGGTGACAACAAAATACATGTCAAACATACCAAGGGAAACTAAACGCAATGAAATATGTAATGAAAATGGCAGCAAAAGGATACTACAAATGCAACCTTACAAACCGGGTGCTGTGTCGTCATTAGCAGCTAGTAGTTAGTTTCACATTAGTAGAGATGGTGCTATGTGGTTTATACAGGGGCATGCCACCATGCAAACAGAGATGAGGGCTTAAAAGAGAGGGTCACCTCCTCTTCCCGCTCCTCTCTCGTCTCTCTGGCCCAATCAGAAACTCATTCTGCTGGAGGACTGTGAAAGCATGAAGATGGTGGACGGTTCCACAGTAAGGCACGGGCGGGTGGACTGTAGTTACCATGAAAGAGCGCGTGAGTGAGTGGGGGGACAAAACAAAGGAGGGCGAGAGAGGAGACAGTAATGAGGAGGGAGGAAGAAAAAAAGAATAAAGAGGAGGATGGAAGTAGTGAAGATAAGGCATAACAAGGCAAAAAGAAAGGAAAGGAGAGAAAGGCTCAATGAGAGGTGGTGTGGATTTTGATTACGGTGATCCATTAGGGTGCAGTGAGAAAGAAGAGAAGAGGAGGGGGAAAAAAAGCACAAGAGGAAGAAATCTGTCAGACCTTTCACTCGCTTTTCCACTCACGGTGAAGCTTGTTTCACGGCAACGTAAGGCTAAGCCACAGGGAACGGGAAGTCAGTAAATCCAGCTGATATTCAAATAAACTAAGGATCTGAATGGCCTCCTTTCATAATACAGTCAACAGATTTATGGCACACCACTAGGGTACTGAGATGTGTAGTATGAGCTCAGATTTTGAGTAGTGAAAAGGGGGAAAGCGTTAATTAGTCACTGGTTAGCATTTAGTGAACACTATCAGAAATCACTACAGTGAAAAAATATCTACAGCCTAATTTCAGACACGAGACAATTCAAACCTCCAGCTTCATGTGGAGGTGGTGCCAACATTGTACCTGTGCGCGTTCAGTGGCTGTGGGACACATGGCCCTGCAGAGGACCTTCTTGATGACATCTGGCAGCAAGCTGACTGTAATGAGGAGGATGATGCTGAGCCAGGCCGGACCGCTGGACAGCATCTGCATGAACACGTAGTACATCCTCTGGTAGTTCAGGAAGGGCCTGAGCAGCAAAATAAAAGGCAGAAGGCAGAAAGAAAAAAAAAATCAATGACTTTCCTGAAATACACTGATCAGCATAAACTTTACTGATTCAAGTAAAATCATAGCACATCTTACCAAATGATCCCACCCCAGAGAAGAGAGAAAATAACATAGAAAAGTAGCGACCCCCAGATGACAAAGTGATTAATCCAGGTCCAGTGGTGCGTGTCCAAGGCAAGCTGAAACAAACAGAACATGGACATAGTGAAAAGGAGCTAGCTGGGTACAAACTAAGATATCATTTATGTAAAGGTAGTTGATATTAGCTTTACTTAAATATTTTCCCCTCAGTGGATTTCCAAACACACCTTTAGTGTTACAGTGAACACCAGAACAGTAAAGATGAGAGTCCCAAACGTCCAGTTCCCAAACATCTGCAGGGATAAGAGAGGAAGAAGAGAGTTAGAGGCAACATCAATCACACAAGCTGTTCTCCCTGCATCCACGGATTACTTAACACCCTACGATACCCGCCCGCCCCTCCAGCAAGTAAAACGAGGAGGGAACAGACACTCTTACATCATATCTGCTGTGATAAAAGGTGAGAGAAAGGGATATTGTGGGCACTGAACTGGAGGCTTTTTCACTTCATATCTCAGTGTGCAAATATTTCTACCTGATGAAATCCTAGAAAGGTTTAAGGAGACATCGGGGGTGAACAGATGGGATGAGAAGATGAAAGAGGGAGGATCGTGACAGGATAGGAAGATCAAGGCAAAGAAACCAGCTGTCTGTTGATACCAGTGTCCATTACTTCTTTCCTTTATAAACTGCAGAAATAGTACGGTCCCCCCCCTTTATAAACCTCCCACATCAGTGAAATTACATGGACGTACAAATACACACAAATGCACAAACAAGGTCGACAGAAAACAAACAAAACAAACAGATGTTGGATCTCGAGCCACAGCGATACTAGTATTCATTTGTTTACTACCAGAAGGAAACACAAGGATAATGTGAGGAAGCATCTAAGATTTCTACCATGTCAGTTAAGATCAGGATACTGTGCAAGGATTCAGGGCTTTACATAGATTAGGGGAATAATGGAGCGCTAGAAAACTACACATTCAAACGGAAGTGCATGGATGGCGGTGACGTGAGAAAGGATGGAGCGGTATGAGACGGTCAAACTGAAGGCGTAAACAATACGACAGGAACGAAAAAGGGTATGAGAGACAGAGAGAGCTGACAGGGAGGGAGACAGGCTTACCATCTGTGTGTTGGTGGTCATAAGCTGAAGGAGGAGAGGGAGAAGAAGAAGAAGAAGAAAGAGGAGCAAAATAAAGAGAGAGGAAGCAGGGAGAAGGAGGGGGAGGGGAGAAAAGAGAATAGAATCAGGACAAAGGGCAAAATGAATTTCAGGATGTCTCAACTTAAAAAACAGGACCGATCAAAAACAGTTGACATGATACAAATTAACAATACAGAGAAAGATGCTATTGTCAATATGAATGGAGATCCAATGTAGCTGACCTATGGGGACCCAGGACAGACACGTTACTACTACAGATCCACAATGCCAGGACCGCAAAGTCAAACCGCTACACCTAAGCTCCTCTTTAACGAGACCCCATCGAGTGAGCGTTTATAATGAGAGCACTTACTTTACATCCATTTATTCCCTCTAATCCCCTAAAAGATGCCTCAAACACCACAAACACCCCTTAAGTCTTCAGTTTCCGCTCTGTTCGCGTACTGGCCGTTATCACCGCCTTTTGCCGACAGGGAGACAGAGGCTTACCTGGCCGTTGCTGGTGAAGGTGGTGTTGTCAAACAGGAAGTAGGCACCGAAGAAGAAGACAACAGCATCAAACACACCCAGGCATGTCCAGTAGAGAAAGACAGGCCAGCGGAGGAGGGAGTTCTTCGCAATGTCCCTGAGAAAAACACAGAGTGACAACGTACATTAGGAACAACAGCTATTACATGCACAAAGAGAATATTTGGGGATCGGATTTCTTCTGAGCTCACCTGTACAAGGAGGGCTCTCTCTTCAATGTGTCCATGCTGACGTGCTGCTCAACCAGGCTGTACAGCAGAATGGGGAGGGAGGTGAAGCTGATGTTGTAAAGCGTCAAATACGCCGTGTCGTACAGAGGCTGCAGAGGAAACAGACGGCATCAGTGATCTGAAACCATTTACATACTGACATATTTGACTTATTAGAGCTAGGAACGTTACTGTGGTTCTCTTAACGGTGTCCGTTGAAACCCTTTAGGTGTACAAACAACTTTTACACCAACAAAACAAGCACAATGGCTAATGTGTGATGGCTTTTGATGAAGCGACATGAAACAACCCCTTCCCTCCTCACTCTGATGCTCAGTTTGAGTTCTTACAAGTCATCTTGAATACGCCTACATGCCTCAACGAACTGGGCTGCTGCCATGTTAACTGCATTAACAAGCTGTTAAACATGTGTACCTAATGAACTGGCCTGTGAGTGTATGTCTAATTTATTCTATCGGTTTTAAATTGGTCTCAACTGCTATATGCTTCGCTAAGTTTGCCAGACGATTAGTGACTTCATCTGCCATATAAATACTGTTGTGCATGTAATGTTGTTTTCTGTTACTATGGTTGATAGATCCCCAGAGCTGGAGAGAACACAGCACTGAGAGAAAATGTGGCGTCTATGGGTGCTTTTCATTATAAGAACTTGTGAACTATCACTTCCTCTCCCCTCCATCTATAAATTATTCCTTGTCCAGCATTGCTGAAGTTCTTATAATCACTTAAATTCACTTCAAGACACCTCAAGAGAGCCTTTTGGATAAGGATTAGGTCATGTCTCCTCTCTTGCCCCTCTCTCCTACATCAGTGGGAGGAGTTAAGAATCAAAGAAGAGATACAAGTGAGGGAAGAAGGATGACATGCCAGCACACGGCTTGAGCAAAACCTCTCTCATCATCAGTGATAGATACAGAAATAGTTACTATTTGAAGCTCCTGTGAGAATATGTGACCAATGCAAATATGACTGCGTGCTTCTCAATGATAACTCTGACACCGTATAAAGTACTTACCTGCTGGGAGAATCCACAGAAGAATTGATAGAGGAACTGAGGGAAGATGAAGCATACATTCTGGAAAGATTTAAGAAGGGGGGGGGGAGAAGAAAAAAAAAAAACACAACAAGCAAAGAAAGTGATAAGCTTGTGACAAGTACGAATGAAAAAAATTAAAGACTCTAAAAATGCTACTATCTACACATTTCTGTTTATGCAGAAATTGTGTGCTATAAGCTCACTGAGTGGGCCGTAAGCAGCTGGCCTGCCAAAAAGGGAAAAAAAAAATGAATCAGTTGGCAGGGCACTGTTTGCTGTGGAAGCCGCCCACACTGATCATCATGGGCATGAATCCGGGAATAGGTTGCACCACGGATTCATGAATCCAGTAATCTGTCAGAGTAGCTGCAAAATCTGGTTCATTGTGACTGTGTTTCACTGGGAATTACGATAAAGTGATTAAAACGTATGAGCCACTTGAGCGCATGAGGCGCCCGTCTAGTACCTTGTAGAAGAAGTACTGAACGAGCTCAGCAATTCGGATGTAGTAGTAATGGCCATGGACCAGAAGCATCTTCTTCAGGTGTTTGAACTTCGGGATGGCGTAGTCACTATTTCTTGCTGCTTGTCTACCTTCTTTACCCATGATGCCTAAAGAAATGAAAAGAGGGTTAAATGCAGCCTGATCACGAGTCTAATCGCATGTTTATTGCTGCAGTTACTGCCTTTAGCATTTTACTTGCAAATATCCTGCAATTACTACAATTATGCCACATGTGATCACCTAAATTGATAGATTATTGTCAAAAACAAAGGTTTACTTTAGGTTAACCTAAAGCTCTGCTATCAAATATCATGATCAGCATTGGGTTAAATATTAAATGGATGATTTAGCAAATTAGCTGATAATTATGGTGCTTAAATGCACTCACCAATTCCCACATGTGCTTCCAAGATCATGCTGACATCGTTGGCTCCATCGCCAATAGCGAGGGTTATGGGGTGCTCCTTGGAGGCTTTAATCAGCTTCACAATCTGCAAAAAGCCCATCCCATTCCAATCAGTACCACTGTGAATGTGCCACTTTGGAGGTGGCTTATTTACTTCACGCATACTTCCTTTACCTGTGCTTTTTGCAGAGGTGCCATGCGACAGCAGAGTACGGCGCTACAGTTACGACAGATCTCTAGAAAGATCTCTCTGTAGTTGCCGTGGCCTGCACCCTCCTGGTTGGGCTTCAATACTGCAGAAAGAGTGGCCCCGTCGATAATGAGGCCAAAGTCGAGGCAGTCTACGGACAAGCTGGGAAAAATAAAAAAAACAATGCGTCACAGACTAATCAACAGGGAAATCCATGCACACATCAGAAGGACTAAAAGATCTACTGATTTGACCAAGAGGCAGTTGCACACATAACGCAGATTGCCCACATGAGCATATACCCAGAGATGGAGCGCTGTCTGAGAACAGTCCTGTTGAGTTCAAACAACACATCGTGAAGGCTCTGCTCTTCCGTGCGTTTCTTGGTGAGCTCCAGGATTTGGGTGGTGCGACGGAACAGCTTGCTGGCGTAGCAAGTAGCCGCCGCCGTCTCCATCTTGTCCCCGGTCAGGACCCAAACTTTCATCCCAGCCTTGTGCAGTGACTCAATAGTGTCTGCTGCTTTCTCCTGGAGCCTGCGCATCGATAAGTCAATAAGTGATGCAGCCTCCACTCAGCTATGCAGAACTAAAGCATTCATCAAAGCTTCAATCAATCCATTACAGACTGGCGATAACTTATCAATGCATGGCCACCCCTGTCCCTGCCCATCAGCAGCTTATCTGTTAGGAAATTAAACTGTCGTGCTTGCGATCAATCAAGTTGGGGTCAATGCTGTGGTCTGCTATTTCCGAGCGTAAAAACATCTTGCATATTTATTCTCTCAGTGGAAAAGAAACAGCAGTATTAATAGTAAGTCACCTATCAGAGCTCTGACACAATATTCTTCTTGCACTCATGAGTCATGAGAACGCTCTGAAGACAATCCTTTAAGGGCGGCTTAATGATTCATTAATCTTCCCTTCTGTCCTTCTGTCCCCCTGCTGCTGCACTGTTTTTAAATCTCTCCGTTCCCCTCTTTCTGACCAACCTGTCCTCCACTGCTGTGGCGCCCAGAAGAACAAAGTCTCTCTCGATGATGTCATAGGCCTGAGCCAGCCTCTGCTCCCTGTCCTGCAGGGCAAGTTTGGCTTCCATCAGGTGATGACACGCCTCCTGGTATTCAGACTGTGAGAGCCTTCGATAGGCGACGCACAGAGTTCGCAGCCCTTCCTGGTGTTACAGCGAAGTGAGCGATGGAGAAAAATGAACAAATTCAAATGCTGATCGCAAGTGTTCCAATCTCATCCACATTAGAGCCATACGTGCTTTAGAATAAAATGTGTTTTCATTCACATCTAGCAGAGTTATAAGTGCACTAGCATTTATTTGTAGTTACATTTGTATCTGTCATTTCAAGGTAGGTGCAATCTTCACTTTTTAGCTGGGCTCCAAAAACCCCCCCCCTGAGGGAAATATATGGCTCTTTAACTGCTACACACTCAACTATCCTGTCTAAGTAGTTGCTAACTTTGTCTTCTAATAATTTGAGTGCTGGATCGGTACCATTTAGAGATTTTTTTGTTGGCTGGAACAGTGGACTGCTTTAGCTAAAAGTAAGACTCATTAAGGTGCAAGGCGTCAAAGAAGGGCAGTAAAAAAACAACAACAACAACAACAAAAAACACACACACAAAAAACCAGTATGCTAAAAGATGAAAAAATAAAAATGCCACACAGAGGTACTCTTTTCATGTTTTTAAAGGAAATATTAATTTTCTTTAAACCTCTTGTTCAAATGTAACATTAAAATTTAAGTTTATAGCATGAAGCTATGAAAGATTTCTGAATGATATCTAAAACTGACCTGATGCAGTGTATCATCAATCCCCTTATATAACCAGTGCTGGTCAAACTGTCCACTTACCACTGCATTTTGTTCCACCCGGGCTTTAACTTGTTCCACCTTTCCCGAGACCACCCGTGGAAAAATGGATGAGTCAGCACCCTTACAGAACAGCAGGTAGTCTCCTGGGAGCACGCAAAACAAATATCCGTAAAGCCAACTGCAAGAACTGCATCCGATAAACAGCCCCGTGTTAGACGATATCTTACCTGAGCTCGACTTGACTATAACGCTCATTCGCCTCCTGACAGAGTCAAAGTTCAGCACATGGAGCAATTCAAACCTGATGGAGAGACGGCATTGGCAAAGACGCAGTTATTGTTTTGTTAATTTTCTTATTTGCAAAGATATTTGTTTGTGGCTTTTTCCCCCCCAGAGTGCTGCATATCATCTACAAATTGTCCAACACTCAACAGTTCTGATAAGTGCACACACTCATTTTTGCATTTTTTTCCTCCATTCAATTTAGGTTTCCAATAATTTGTAAGATAAACAACTCACATTATCCCCTCTTACAGTTTCATTACATCCTTTAACTTCCTGATTAGCAAGCTGTAAAACAGACCACAATGCAGATTGATGGCCGAGGCTTAAATTAATTCTATTTTTGGCTCGAGTGGTCTTGGATCCCTTAAAAAGGGTAAAAGCACAAAATGCAAGAAAGCTGTAAAACCTTTTGCTTTCACATTGCCGCTAAAGTCTTCACCGCTGCCCACTGCACCACCCTCCCTTCCTGAGCTCCCCTGCTTCCTTAAAATAGCTCACTATTGACAGGCCACTGCAGAGAGTGATAGCGAGGGAAAGCGGTTACACAAACACATCCCACGGATCAAAACATTAAACACTTGCCACAAAACCACTCTCTAATGGAAACTCGTTCGGCTTCTGTTTTTTCTGATCAGCTGGAACGTTTTGATTCGATTGAGTAGTTCCGTAAAAAGCAACCCTCTGCCTGCTCTTTGGTGGTTGTAGTTTTTTTGTAACCTCGGGTGAACATGAGACACAAGCTGAGGGCTGTTGTATGTCGGCTTATGTGTGACCGCAACTCCATCAAGTGAATTAATCTCATTTTATCTCCTGTGGAGTAACCGCACCAGTCTCTTAGCACACCGACCTTTCAATCTCGTCATCTTTGTTGAGGATCTCCATGTAGTTGTCCTTCAGTCTTAGATATGTGTAACCGAGCCTAGCAACAAGAGTGAAAGGAAAAAGATGCATTAAAGCCCAACAAAAAGCAACCATGTACACCAATACTCGCTTATGCCCCACTTGGAAAGGCTAAAGGTGCTCTGACGCCTTCTGCGTAACCTGAGCTCACACATACGCCGAAGACAGAGCACATCTGTGAAAGCTATATAAGACAGCAGCATTCCCTGATGGTGCATGGTTGACGTGTCCTACACTATACTATTAAAATAGCACACACAAAAAAAATGAAAAGGTTCTCTGTGTTGGCGTGGACTTGGTGCTTCTTGGTATAAAGATTATAAACACTGTAGGTGGTCCAGTTTGAGTAATTCAACAGTAATCAGACAGTAAAACACAGCACAAGTTAATCAAGGATAATACAAGTCTGAAAACTTCACAGCAGCCTGTCTGCATCATCCTCTGTGCCATCAAGGCTTTAAATTGTTCTTGACCGACCAACAATTTGCACTGCCAGATAGTACTTCAGGAAAAATTGAGCCAAGACCATTTTGTTGGAGAGGGTGACCCTGCACCCTCCCTCTGCCAACATAGTGGACTCACTGCAAGTGGTGAGGAGGATATGTCGTTGAAAACAAGCTGTTACTACAATCAACTGTACAGGAAGTTATCACAGTTATAATATTTTTCAGACAATTTTATTAAAGTGTCCCAAAATCTGCCACAAACATAACCTAGAGGAGCTCAGAGTCATAACTTAACAGAAGGGACAGCGAGCAGACTGTATCAGCACCTACCTGTCACACATTACTTTAAATTATAATACAAATTAAATGGGTCAGTTTAATAAGCATTCACACCTAAGCAGCTATCATGAAGGAGGCAATTCACCATGAAAACCTAAACTGTTTATTTGGGCTCTAACATGGAGACAGCCTCAAGTGGTCATTTGTGGAACTGCAGTTTTTGGTACTTGCGGTACAAAGAAGGTCAAATATTTAAAAAAAAGAACATTGATCTCCTTTACTTTACTTCAGTGAAACACAGTAATGAAAGAAAAGATGACTAAAAAGGTGTGAAGGAGAATTTCCAAAGACTGATTATACTTACATTAGACTAGTAACTGTCTGCCATACTGAAACTACAAAATCCAGAGGATGGATTCCAAAATGCACCAATGTGTTCTCACCATGTCATTTCATACAGGCCAGATTAAATAAAAATAAAATACTGGTGCAACATATTCATTAAAAGGTTGAGATTTTAAATAATACAAACAGCCTATAAAATAAAACAAACTGTAATATCTTATTTTATCCTGTGTATCCTCTGCTACAGGAGGTAACAAAGGAACCAAGGAAGCACTTTCCCTTTAGTATTTAGAGAATTTAACCAGCTCTTGTTATGGCTACCACACAGACACTTCCAGGTCAGGTTTCCCTTACTGAAGCCTTTCTAGATAAAACTGATGAATCGGCCAAACCCCTAATCCGTTGTGAAATAAACAGCAGATTCCTGTTTACTGGCTGAGTCCGTGTTGGAAGAACAGCCTGAAGGCAAAAGTAAAAGTTCTGGACGGTAATTGACCGAAATACATTTTCAACCAAAATATAAAATACGCACTAATAAAGTTTAATGTAACTTGAACCTATAAAGATTTTAGGGGACTTTGTGTGGTTTTAGCGCATTTACCTTTTCATTCCCTCGACCAAAGCTACCTCATCTGGTGAGGAAGAGATGTAGAAGGAGGTGGGCCTGCCCTGGTGGATGCCCCTCTTGATGCCATCCACCGTCTCCTCCTCCTTCACCTGCACCGTGTGGCACAGACACAGCGCCCGAAAAAACAAATCCTCGTATTCCTGCAGCGACAGACAAAAGGCACAGCTACATATCGTAATCATTTCTTATGGAGGCAACAGGCCGAGTTAGAAGGAGCATAATTAAAACAAGAGTGAAGAACGAATCCTCTTTTTGTTTTTTACACAATCGATTCTGTTTAGTCGATAGCGTGACATTTCTGTGCTATATATAAAAAAAAAAACAACCCCCCCCTCCCCCCAGCAATAAAGCAGGAAATCTTTTCAGCACTTTTTGGCAGTGAGCACCCTTCGTCCTCTCTCTCGCGCGCTCTAGTCATCTGTGGCAGCTACTGCTGCTCATGCTGACTACACAAGTTTTCTTTTATTAAATCTAAACTAATCTTTGTTGCCACTACCATAAGTGCAATGCTCATCACTTTTCCGTGTACCAGAGGACTTTTTTTTCACCCCCAATATAAGACAAAGTATACACTATACAACGAAAGTGTTAAAATTTATATGTATTGGGTATAGGATATATCAAAATCCTCCAGCCTTATAACTGAGATTAGCTTCCCCTTGTTTGTTTAGCAAAACACACTTACTCTCCTGTAGCCACCAGGTGAGGAATCAATCATGTCTATACTTGACGCAGCGCTGAGGATTTGGCCGTTGCAGATCGCGTGTGGGATATAGACGTTCCCATCAACGCAGCATTCGATAAACTCCATGTTGTTCTCAGTTAGAGTGCCCGTCTTATCAGTAAACACATATTCCACCTAGGAGGGAGAAAGGAGAAGGGTACAGTAGAGGCATGCCTCAACAGAGTTTAGATTGCATCCGACAGTCCGCATCTGGGCGTGCGCGTGTACCTGTCCCAGCTCTTCATTCAGGTCCGAGGTGTTCACCTGAGCGCCTTCTCCCAGCTCCTCGTCAAACATCTCCTCGTCCCAGCTGATGAAATAGGAGCCAAGAAATTTCTGCATCTCCACCGTTACATACATGGACACGGGGATGATGTAATTAAACAAAACCATGAAGGCCAGGAAGTCTGTGAAGGCTCGGATCACCTGAGTCGGGGGAGGGAGACAAACAGCTATGAAGTTTTAAGTGACACCAAACGCTTGGTTTAAGTGGTTACTTTTAAAAACGTAGAGGACTTATGAACGGACCACATGGCGCTGACGCTCGTGCTCAGTCCTGTGGTTGTACCAGGGCTCATCCCGATCGGGCGACCACTGCCAAGCGTACTTCAGAACAGTGTTGATCACCGCTTTACTGATCAAGATGCACAAGTACACTATGAGGAAGGCATTCATCGACCTGCAGAAGGAGAAGGAGAGAGAGTATGCATAAAGAAGGGTGCATTTCAATTAACCAGTTCAAAGAACGACTTTCAATCATGCAGTGAAATGAGCTGGGAGATTCATCATACTTTTCCACAGCAGAGCGCTTCTGAGATTTAGACTGGTAATTAAGTGCCATCTTGGTCTCCATGCCAGTGTAGACTGCAACAGCTGAAGGCACAGACAACAGTGAGTTACAAATGCAGAAATGATACCAGCATTTCTTCAACTGTTGTAAAACATTCAGGAGTCATTAAGCAAAGTGAATCCACATCAATACCGTAAATATGCTGTGTGTTCTTCAGCGTGGCTCCTCTAAGGAGCAAATTCTCAGCTCCAAGTGGTCTGAAACAATACAATTAAGATGCTGGTGTTATTACAGAGAAAACAATTGAAGGCCGTTGGCATTAAACCCTTGAAACACACTCACACAGTGAACACAAACCTCGCCACAGGCTCTTCTTTGTCCTTGTAAATATTGATACGTCCCACAAATCTGTAAAGAAGTCAGTGCGATGTCAAAACAAGACCCACACAGTGACGAGGACGTATCTTGTAACAGGTTTGCATATAAAGATACATCAGTGAGCATGCTTCCCACTCACTTGTAGAGGTCAGGCTGCGGTTGTTCACATTCAATAGTGGCATGTAGCAAATCCACCTCCTGCTCTGTTCTAAAGGCCATGGTATCTGGTATAGCATAATAGGTCTGAGACAGAAAAGGTGCCGGAGAGGGGGATGAAGAAGACAGCAAGAGGAAAATGTCACCCACAGTCGCTAATGAGAAGAGCCTCAGCCGGTTCACTAAATGACTGAGGGGGGAAAAAAAAAAGGCAGCAAGATGAGTCAGGGGCTCTTGGGGTCACCAGGGGACAGCATGCTGGGATGGTGAACACATCAGAGGGCTGCCCCGAGGGCATGTATGAGGAAGATGAGTTCAGTAGTCTGTTCTATACTGTGGGTAATACGTGTGTGTGTGTTTGTGTATGCATATGATCATCCATGCATAAGATCATGTGAGTGACACCAGTGATCACCTATGCAGGTGGGCCAGTGTGTCACCTCGATCATTATGAATTTATGAGTAGGTGCATGCTGCCTGAAAAGTGCAGGGCTGCAGCCAGTTAATGTTCTGATTATTGAGTAAATCTGCTGATTATCTTTTGTGAATAATCACTGACAGAAAACATGAGAAAGTAGAATAAATGGAAACCTCACACTCCCGCTAAACCTTAAGGGTGCCTTCTTAAACTGCTCCGTTTTTCAGACCAACCAAAAAGATATTTGTCCTATTATTATTCGTTGCTATTATTAGCAACAAATATGTACATTAGACAACTGGATTTTTACCCTAAAGTGGCACGTGAATCAATTAAATTCATCGTTACATGGTCGCTACTTGCAGAATGTATGAAATGACAATAAATCATTAATACAATCATACTTCATTCATCTGAATGTTCGCTGCTGTGTTCCAGTGGCAGTGTCATCCAATGAAAGGTCATTATGGCATTTCTGTCTTTCCTTCGTTTACACTGGCGTTCATAATAAACACGGGCATAATTTTATCCCTGTGAGCCAAAACCTCAGACTTGGGACTGCTCCAAACACTTCAACATTTTCTTTTTTAAACGTTTAGATCTTCATGATGTCAAAAAGATAAGATATCCTTAATATGGTTCCTCTCGGCCACACAGTTCTGCCTGTGAGCATAGCAGGCCCGCCCACCTGTTGTTCAAATCTTCCATTTGTGGGGTCAGAGGAAAGTTAAAAGTTTAACTCCCCCTAAGTTAAGAGAAGGGAGCCAAATGATTGGCACAGTTTAAAATAAATGAATCTTTTAAATACTGGCAGAGTCAGGGAGCTGGAAAATAGCGTAATAAATATGTAATAAATTAACCTTTAGTCAAACAGCCGAAAAGCAGGGTTGTAAAGCAGCTTGCACGAGCCCAGCAACTGTGAGCAGGGTAAAGCAGCTTAAATAGTGCACTGCAGCAGATAACTAGTAATAATTACAGGCAATACTCACACAATTTAAAATCTGTAACACATAAGACTTTTCATACTCCAGGTAATTAAAAACTCCCAAATTATAAACCATAAGGTTTATAGGTTTACAGTAAAACACTGCAGAATAGTGTTGAGATTACATATTTACTAGAATGATGAACATGGTTGCGTTAGCTTCCTGCATTTTTTTTTAATCAATATTATAATAATCAATAGTCCTGACAATGCAAACTCATGGATGTGAGATTTTTTTTTCATAATACATACAATAATCTTTTCTCCGTATGCCTGGAAACAATGATGCTTTCATTTTTTGTTAGGGAGACTAAAACAGTTTAGGGAGAGAATAATAGCATTGGATAATACTACACTGTTACATAACAACTGTTGTTCTTTGTGAGCAGACAGGCATTGTTTGATTTCATAAAAGACTTATATTTGTGGTGATTTGGTGCTTCAGAAGGCCTTAACTCTGATTAATTTAAGGACCTATGTAAACTTCTTTTTTGACAGGAAATATAAAGACAATCAGCCGGAAAAGGGTGGAGTGCCCACTCCGGGTCGGGGATGAGCTCCTGCCCCAAGTGGAGGAGTTCAAGTATCTCGGGGTCTTGTTCACGAGTGATGGGAGAAGCGAGATCGACAGACGGATTGGTGCGGCGGCTGCAGTGATGCGGACGCTGCACCGGTCCGTCGTGGTGAAGAGGGAGCTGAGTGTAAAAGTGAAGCTCTCAATTTACCGGTCGATCTACGTCCCTACCCTCACCTATGGCCACGAGCTGTGGGTAGTGACTGAAAGAACGTGATTGCGGATACAAGCGGCAGAAATGAGCTTCCTCCGAAGGGTGGCTGGCCTCTCCCTTAGAGATAGGGTGAGAAATTCGGCCATCAGGGAGGGGCTCAGAGTAGAGCCGCTGCTCCTCCACATCGAAAGGAGCCAGCTGAGGTGGTTCGGGCATCTGACAAGGATGCCTCCTGGGCGCCTCCTGGGGTTGGTGTTCCGGGCATGTCCCACTGGGAGGAGGCCCCGGGGCAGACCCAGGACACGCTGGAGAGATTACATCTCTCGGCTGGCCTGGGAACGCCTTGGTGTTCCCCCGGATAAGCTGGAGGAGGTGGCTGGGGAGAGGGAGGTCTGGGCTTCTCTGCTTAAGCTGCTGCCCCCGCGACCCGGCCCCGGATAAAGCGGATGAAGATGGATGGATGGATATAAAGACAAGTTGAGAACAGACTGATTCAAACAGTTTCACTAGTTGTGGCACCTTGTGACTAGACTCCCCGTCCAAGCTGGTGGTGGTGACGTAGCAGGTCCCATCAGAGCGACTAGAGGAGAGAAGAATGAGGTCACAGGGGAACGTCTCATCTTCCTTCACCACAACGATGTCCCCCACCTGGAAGAGGACAAACAGTGGTTTCGATATCATTAATAATAAATACATAAACACAGAATTAGTGACAGGGACTGACAAACCTGTTAGAAATCCTTTACCATCTCTCTTTAAAAAAATTAAAAAAATAAAATCAGAAATTGCATAACGGATTATGCGAGCAGAGCAGCTTAAACTCTGATAAATCCCATCTCCACGGTGACCATACACATGACACACGCTCTCTGATTTTGCATGATTAATGTATTCATCATTATTCCTGCTCCCAATTCACACTTTAATCCTCTCTGATCTATGGAAGGAAGAAACCTTAGCACTAAAGAAAAAACAATCCCAGAAGACAGACACAGACAGCTAGAGAGAGGCAGAAAGACAGGAAAGAGACAGTGACAGATAAAGCCAGGCAGGAAACATAAAAAAAAAAGAAAAGAGAAAAAAAAGTATATTTGTGCATTTGGGCTTTCACTTGGTAGATTTGTGCAAACTATATACTGAGGTTCCCACATAGTCTGCATTAACTCTACTTTAAGAGCAGCAGACACGACATGTAACCAGCACCGATTACATATTATGAAAAAACAATGCTTCAAAACGAGAATGAATGTGTCGTTATTTATGAGTCCATAATAAATTCGCAATGCAGTTTAAAAATGATCTCATTTTATTGTTTCAACAAGTTGTCGATTGCTCATTTATGCTCTACCCTACTCAGATCAGCTGGTTGCTGTGTATGTGGCGGTCCAAACACATAAACAGTAATGGAAAAAGGACTGGTTCTTATACAGGGATTTTCTACTTGAGCAGGCAAAGCACTTTATACAACATGCCACATTCACCCATTCATACAAACACTGTTTTTATGCTTCTTCTAAGTGTTTTCTATATTCTGATGAACGCTTTAGAGAGCAACTGGTGGTTCAGCATCTCACTGATGGAGACTGGAGCAGCCTGCCTACCTCGTGACCTACAGGCACTCCTGTGTCACCAACAGGTAAGTTTTAGAGTTGTAACACCCATTACACGGTTGAAGCGTGTTTCTCCGCTCTCTTCTTTCCTTTTTTTCTAGCAGATAAATTAAAAATTTATCGGCTGCTATAACTGCCAATGCAGATTCATCAGTAGACTGATATTAGCACACACATAATATCGGTCAGGCTCTATTCTATGCATCTACATTTTAGGTGATGGGCTAGTATTAAGCAGTCTGATCTTTTCATTCATACTTGGATGATACAGGACAGATTACTGCAGAGCAGCATGCCAGCTGAGTGACACTAGTTTATATTTTTCACAGAAATATTGGCATTCGCCCCTGCATTTGGTACCACGAGCAGCACTGCTGTAAATAAAGCCACACTAATAAATGCAAATTAATGAGCCTTATTTCCAGTGTGTTTTCATACAGAAAAAGGTGTAATGGCTCTATAAAAAGAAGAAGAGTTCATTTGTGCATTAAAGTGAACAGAATCGGATAGTGGGCTGAGAAGATAATACTGGAATAACGTGAAATCCTACGTGAGCTGAGATGGAAAAGATGGAAACATTAAAAAAAACAAAAAAAAACAACAAACTACCAGTTCGATCAAAGATGGGATGTGAAATTATGAAAATCATTTGCAATCACGGCAAACTGAATTACACCACCAAACAGAGATTTACTGTTGCATCAGAATGACAGAAGAGAACATCAGAGGATGATGACAGGAATATCCTAAATCATGAAATACATCAGTCGTCTTCGTCCTCCGAGGGACTCGCGTGCTACACCGGGGGACAATCTATCACAGCTTCGGGGAAATTAATTGGTGGGAAAGTGAAGAGAGAGCAAAAGCAGCAGTAAAGAAAGTTCGAGAGGACTGCAGAGAGGAAGAGAAAGGGGTGGGCTGGTGAGAGCGACAGTTACAGGGGAAAAAAAGTGAGCTATGCAGCAGAACAGCAGTGTTGCTTTGTGGCCTCAGGTGCTATGCTGCTCTAATGAGGCCATTCTTACCCGTAGCTTGTGACTCTGTGTCCTCACCACCTTCCCCTGCTGCACCACGTCCACCGGACACTCGTTTATAGAGCAGTCAGCTTTGTGTCTGAGCCAATCCTCGTAGCCCTGAGAGAGATGCAGCAAGTGGGTTGCAGCAAGGGATAGAAAACGAGATTGTAAGGGGAGGCGGAAAAAAAAAGGAGGAAATAAATATGTGTGTGTGTGTGTGTGTGTGTGTGTGTGTGTGTGTGTGTGTGTGTGTGTGTGTTGGCAGTGGGGAAACAAAGAATATAGACTGTTGTACAAGCAGAATCGGGGCCAGCACCAGATCAAGAGAGAGGAGAGCACGAGGTCAAAGTCATACATAGTAATTAATTAGCATCGCACTTTCTGAGCTTGGTGACCCGTTTCCTGGATTTGTAGCCAATGTGTCATGTTTTAGATTTATGTCCTAGTAAAGCTCTGGCTTCCTGAGCGAGAATAGCTCTATCTATCACTGATAGTACCCCATCCCTCAGTACTGGGACGGAACGGAGAGGATGCATCGCCCAGAGTCACGGGATCCTCAGCTCGAGTGATTAACAGAGGAGACCATTCATGATCATATTTCTCACATCAGCAGACAGATTCAATGGCATGCCCCTTTGCTGGGAGTGGAATGTGTATATACAGATAATAGAGCAACGGAGAACGGAGAGTGCGTGGGTATTTGAGGCCAGCAGTTGATGCGTATAGAGGATAATCACGGGCAATTTTTCTTGGACATATAAGCATATTTGTGTGCATCCTACCTGTTTGATGGCGGTGACCGTGATAACAAAGAAGAGGGGCAGGCCACTAGTGACTGGGCTGGTGGGGGTGTCGATGATGAGCTGCAAGGGAAAGAAACAGGAGGAGGAAGACGTAGAGTGGGGGGGGGGGGGGGGTTGGGGGTGAAGAAGTGGCCACAAATAGAAGATAGGATGTCAAGTAAACAGCACTGTTCAATGTGCATCAGTGAAGAGCTTTTAAAACTTCAAGCTTGGGATCAAATTTGATCTTTTCCTTTAGGATTAACCTCCTGGGATAGTTATGATCAGTATATTTAGGCGTATACACCCCTACAGTTTCAGAGACACATTAAATGCAGCAAGCAATGTCATTATTTCAGTTTAAAAAATGTTATAAATTACAAACACATCCTCAGCACGCCCCATCATCAATAAATGCATGCACCCAGTCTGTGGCCATGTTTCAAACTCCTCTATCAAGGCAACTGCTGGAAGAGAAATTGCCTTAATAGACCGGAACTATTAACTATCTGACTATTATCACTAGTCCATCCTTGCATTGTTATTCAGCCACTATATTTGATACAATGTGGCAGTTCAGAAGACGAAGAAAAGCTTCTGAGGTACAGAGAGAGCACTACAACAATCCATTCGAGAACGTTGACTTTGCAAATTTGCATTAGCCTCAGATGAGTGAGTGCTCTTATTTTGAAATATGTGAACGATAAGGGAGTGTCTAAACAGCTTTCAGCACTCATATGATTAAACAGTGCACACAGCCACATAATGAGACAGCACCACTGTGACTTCTGGCAATTATGAATCAATTCCAGACAAATGTAAAATCAGCAGATTCTAAAACAACCAGAGATCCATATTAAGGGTGGAAATCACAGAGTGACACAGAACACTATTACTGTTTCCAAAGAACTTGTGAAGCTGTGTTTAAAAGAAAGAAACCAACCCCCCCAAAAAAATTTGGAAAAAAATGATTTGCTAATTCTACAAGGACAGAAATCTGGCATAAACATACAGTATCTTCTACAGAGAGTGCACAAACATGCAGTGCCTGCAGTGCTCGCACAGTAGGCAGATTAAAGAGAAAAATAATTGTCATTAATAAAGCCGAAATCTCACCTGAACCAAAAATATGACCAAAAAGTAAAAGTTAGCGATTCTTCTGAACTGCTCAAACAGGTTCTTGGGAATGAAGTTCCAGAAGGTGTACTGCGGAAGAGAGTAACAGCAAACTTACTATCAAGGCATTTAGAAGAAAAGAAAAGCAAACATCATAACAGTTCCTGTGCCAAAAAACAATGATAAAGACAAAAAAAAGTAAAGCATCCTTTAAAAATAAAAGAAACACAGCTACAAAACAGGATTACTTGGTTGCCTGAGTATAAAACTAACATAGCGTAATGATAAAAAGTGTTATAGCAGTGACTTGTGGGCTGCGGACCGCTCACCTTGGAGGACACAATGCGGTTGTCGGGATAACGCTGAGGGATGTACGCCTCAGCTCCTGGAGGGGGTTCTTTATGCCCGATATACACCGTCCGACTGTCCACCCAGATCTCCTCCCCGACACACTGCAGAAGAAAGAAATAACATGCAGATATAAATAGCAATAGAAGGTAGGGACAAGAAACTGGGTTATAGGGCTGTGCGATATGACCAAAATCTCATATCCCGATATTAAGACATCTATGTCCGATAACAATATAAATCACAAAAATTTAACATTTTCTATAAATTCTGTAAATCTCGGGCAGCTCGACTTGCGTGAAGTGTTCGTGTACCTGGAGTTGAGTGTTTTAACCGATGCATGAAACTATACATTTTTAGACATAAGTTGTAACGGCGCCGTTTTCTTTGTGAGTATTTATTACACGGCGTGCTGCGGGGAAAAGCCTGTTCTAACGTTTGAGTCTAAAGTCTATTTTTTTTAGCACCTGGCGGCTCTTTTTTAATTCTCATCCGTAAACACTCTGCATCTTTTACGCGATTCAGTTTATTTTGAAAAGTCTCAACAGGATCTTGAGCTTTATTGTGAAAGGTTTATGTGGAACAAGCGGACACGGTGGTTTTACCGTCGTTGTTGCTAACGACAACACATAAAAACAAACGCTTGTCTGTCTGTAGTGTGGTTCTATTAAATATAAGAGAAAGTGAGAACTTTAAGAAATTAATATAGGCACTACAGTGACCATCAAAATAATGAAAAAAATATTGCCGTAAACAGTTTATTTTGCAACACCACGAAGCAAACGATAGCGTAAAATGAAACAATAGATGCTTTTATATCTTCATCCAATATATATCGTTATATCGAACAGCCCTACTGGGTTATATCACAAAGTGTCCGATTACAATTAATGACCTCCTTGCTATTATCTGGCTTACATCAATTGAAACGATGCAGCTGAATAACACCAACATTTTACCGGCACCTCCTTAAAACATGACTTCACAGCGTGGAAGCATAGTTTACCGGTATATGAGCAGCCAGTATACATTATTGTAGATAATATACAACTAATCAAAAAATACTTGCAAACAGTATTTATACATTTTTTTGATTAGAATCAAGAAAAACAGAGTCCTAGATGAAAAACTGCAACAGAATGTTAAACAAGACTGTGTTACACGACTTCTGTGACTTCTTTTAACAAACAACTTTTCAGACAAGACAAGCCAAATTGAAGGATGTGTTAATGTTTGTGATGCGTGTAGGTGGGTTCGGCTCTGAGTCACGGTAGAGTGGATTTGTCATTTATCTTTTTCTTCCTGCAGAACAGTCAGGATATTCTGCAGTCAGCCCTCTGCTCTCTTCCATCTGCACAGGTCCAAAACACAGCTATGTTGTTGCTCTTACAATTTTCAACTGATTCAGTGGCTTGACTTTAAAAAAATTAAATACACATCAGTTCCCGTGCATGCAAACCATCCCCAGGGCTTAACAGAATGCACTGTGGGACTTCACCGCAGCACATTTTTTCTCAGAGATGTCCCACATTAAAAGCTACTGCAGTAACAGAGCTCTCCGAGACAAAACAAGAATCACGAGACCAGGATTTGGCTGTTTGTGTCTACACGAGTCCTAATGTTTTGGCCTGAGTGGGCACCGTTAGCGTAGACTTTGGCAAAGCGGCCGACCTGACACAGCTCAAAGCAGAAGTGTTGACCATTAGCAGAAAAGTTCTGGAACAAGCACTTTAGAGGAAGTAGCGCTTCACTGCTTCAAACGTCCTCAACATTTTGGCAGAGACGTAGCTCATTATTGTCAGTGAGAAACCCCCCCCCCCAACTTCTAATACATTTGTGCTCAGTCCACAGCACGTACATGTCCCAAATGTGTTTCCTGTCAACTTAATCCACAAGTTTTAACAAGTTTAAGATCAAATGAAGGTTAATGCAGCATCACAGTGAATTCAACGCAAGATGAGACACCCAAATAGCTAACTGCAAAACTTAAAAGCAAAGAGACCCAGATCCTGGCATCAGACGCTTGGCAGTGAGATAAAAATAGACACAGATCCAACAGTGTCAGCCGACTGGAGACCCCTCCAAACTATTACGGGGTGGGGGAGCAGCATGACCCAGACGAACACTGAAAATGGAAAGAAACCGAAAGAAACTCAAAGTAAGGCAGAAACCGAAAGCAGCAAAAGCAGAGAACAGGAAGAAATCAGCAACAACAGATTTCTACAGAAGAAAAAGGGTAACAAGGACAAAGAAAAGGATGTATGGGGAGAGTAACGGGGAGAGAAGGTGGGGCTGAGGGCAAAAATAGAAGCAGTTGTCACTGACATGATGCAGCATGTGCGAGTAATCTTTCATTTATTTATTTTTTTTGTAAAGGGAACTGACCAAATCAAACAGCTGTCCTGGTAATATTAAGCCACCTAACCTTGAGCCTTAGTTGTTTACTTTAAACGTCTTATAAATACCCGACATAACCACGATGTGCAAAGGAATTTCATGTTCATGTTAATACCAAAACAACAACAACAACAACAACAACAACAACAAAAAAAACTTGGTTACAATCAAACTCTCTGACCATACAGTACATTTGATGGTTTAATATTAAGAGCAGTGTATTGGACCAAGGACGGCTTTGTACAATTTGTTATAGTGCTTGCATCAAATCAAGCTAAGGATGTGATCCATTCAAAGGACAAACCGGGGATCTAAATGGGAGGCTGGAGAATAGAAAGCACTGTCAACTAAAAGGGCAAATTCCAAATACTTCTAATTTGGCATTGCAGGTTTTTCCTGCTATAGAAAGGGCCTTTGGTGGGAGGTTCACTTTATTTGACAAGAGGAAGCTACTTTCAGCTGGTCCCTTGTCACATGGGGTAGTTCCACATATTTGATTTGACAGAGTTTGGCTTTTTGAACCAGTGACCTTTCAGTGGCCAAGTAAATGCATAAACCATATGTATTTTTCACCTTAATTGACAGCAATAAAGACACCAAGCAGGACAAAACACAAACTACAGGAGTAGATAAAAGTCTGAGCCTGGGTCACCTGATCCAGCCCCAACTATAGGTTTGATCGAAAAGGAAGTCTAATCATGTATGAGGGTGGTTATCTTCCAAATCTAAACTGAGAGCTGATAACACACATGAGAGGAGGCTGATAGTTGAAGGTTCTGGCTCCCCTTCTACTTTTGGTAACTCACAAAGTGCTCAGTTGTGGATAATATGGTGATATGAAATCTTTACGACGTGACTGACCCTGATCGCTCAGGCCTTTAAATGTGAGGAGAAGGACTTTAAATTCAATTCTGGATTTAACAAAGAACCAGCGAAGAGAAGTCAGTAAGAGAGAAATGTGATCTGTCTTCCTGTTAGTGCTCTTGCAGCAGCATTTTGGTTCAACTGGAGACTTTCCATAAAGCTATCAGGAAAACACGACTATAAGGAATTATAATAATCTAGCCTCAGATTCGTTATGCATTAGTGGGAGTTCAGGTTAAAGTTTTGCACTGTAATCAGGACAAATGTGGAAAACGGTCATTGCTATTTCAATGAAATTGCTCGCTTACATCTTAAACATTCTAAATATTTACTTTGTCTATTTCTACATTAGTTCAACCATTCTTCAAATCCACAGCTCTCTGAATTCACCATCCATCTCCCCCATATTTCTATCTGCAGTGTTTTCTCCCTTTGTTCCCATCATCTCCTGGCAGCGAGTGTCACATTATGACAGCGTGACTGTGGGAGAGGGATGGAGGAAGACGCAGAGAGATTGCATTGTGGTGTGCAGTTATCTGATCATTAATCCTCACTGATCCGTATCAACCCGCGTCCCACAGCTCCCTCTTCACTCTGCTGCTCCAACAGACAAAGTGGCTTGGTGGCTGGTAGCAGGACATGGAGGCTTTGTCTTTATTAACAACCCCAACCAGCAGAGCGACGGGTCTTACATCACCATCAATCATCAACAATGACAGGATATACTTTATTACAGCAAAGAATAAAAAATTAAATTAAAGAAACCACCACTACAACTTTCCCTTTTATGTTTCTGCACTGTGTGAAGCACTCCTATTAGGTAGGTGCTTTGCCATTTGTTTATAATTCGAAATGCTGCTTTAGAAAGCCATGAGAGTATTTCCAGATCTAGCATTGTGTAATAATGTGCCTACCATTCACACAGGCTTTGCTCCATAAGCACTTAATGGCACCATGAATGCATACATTTTCATTACGAAAACGCCAACTCGACCCCAGCAGTGCCATCTATGCCACCTCTGTGATGCGGTGCCTTTCTACTAGAGAGGGGCAATAAAAGACATACGCCATTAACTGGCTTGATTATATGGTCATGTCTCATACTTCCTCCACTGCCGAGTCATGCTGTGCTGCACGCAGCATGTTTAGCAGTGATCCTTCATTAACCGACAGATCAAATTCCTCTGAGCAAGCCTTACCTTAATGAACTCCTCATGCTAACATAGAATGGACAACGTACACAACTCCAGAGCAGGACGTGATGCTGTTTAGCTTTATTCAAAACAGAAGCTAGCGACCATATTATTAAGCAATTTTAGCTCATTTTAAAATATATATTGCTACAGAGCCTCAGAAATGTTATCTTTGAGTATTATGTGGATGCTACAGTGACTCCATGCATAACTGTCTCTCATCACCTGGTGCATTTCTTTAGTTTAATTGGCACGATTCAACTTTTAATTTTACTGCTGCTGTAACCCATCGATATTAGCCATCTAATGGACTCTGTTGCACTCTAATGAGCAAAGCAAGTAATTCTGTGTAAATTTGGGGTGGTAACACTAAAACAAATGCAATAACCTATTAACAGAGGCTTTGAAGTCTGTTGTCGCACTGAACACGGATAAGAAAAAGGAGCCTGAGGATCTTGATAAAAAAAAAAAGACACTCATTAGTCACTGATCGCCACAGCAATACAGTACGCAGAGACTTCTACAGCATGTCTGCAGGTTCATTAGGCAAAGAGACAGATCACAGAGGCTTCATTATAATGGCTGCAGATCGAACATGTAAGATTTTTTCCTCAATTTAATGCTCTGATACAACATTAGTCAAGTGATTATGAGACTGGATTAGTGTCCCAGAAAATATCCACAGTATCCTCTTGGTGTTTTTTAATTTGGTTTAATGAGACTTATTAGACTCTGTTGTTTATCAAATTTATTTTTGGGGGGTATAAAGTGAAATGAAAAAGGAAGTGGTAAAATAGGGAGAGAACATGGCTCCTAAGGACAATATGGGCATTTAGGGATTCTAATCATTCATTAAAAATTGTGTTTGGGACAAATAATTATACAGGCGCAAACAAACAAGCAAAAAAGGGAATGGTGACCCTTCAGCCCGCGCACAGTATTTCAAAAGCATTAAAGAGCCACCGGATACCTCATAACACAAACACCGGCAACATTATCAAAGGATAAATATGAGCTGATTACTTTAACATGACAACATTTGTATTCCGCTGTTGTCCCAGCTTCCTCTCCCACTTCAGCTCGCTGTGATCCAACAGTTACATAAGTCTTTAATCCAGCTGTGCTACTTCTCCTCTCCCTCTCCTCTCTCCTTTTCCTCCTGCCACCCTAATCTGCATCCAAAAAAAAAAAAACCCTCTCATTTTGTCTGCGTTTAACACTGAGACGATAATACAGGCTGGAAATGGTGTGTCATAAAGAAAACGTTGTCTTCGGGTCATGCTGCGAGAATCAAAAAAAATAATAATTAAAAAAATCAGTCTTATTTGCCAGCACAAAAGATGTGTGACTGCTTCCTCTGATATGCACACAGATCAGCGGGCAAAGCTCAACCCCAAACACAAATCCTGTGTGTTTTTGTCACCTACAGCTGCCATTGCTCCACCAGTGCCCCGTCTCCAAAGGGTGCAGCAGACAGGAATAGACTGCCCTTAACTGTTTGTAGCAGTGATGTGGCAAACAGTAATCTAGCAGGCTGTGTTCTGCCTTTCAACACCAGTCAGGACTCAAAGGGCTGTAAAGTTGCTTGAAACCCTTCTTAAGCCCTTCAGCGCGCAAGGTGCTGCTGGCACCTTTTTAATCAAAAGGGAAACATCGCTGGCCTTTCTCTTTTTATCTGCTGATTTTGTGAGAGGTCTCAGCATGAATAACAGTTTACATTTAGAGATAAGATAGAAGAGGGTTAGGATAGCAGGGGGGCAAGGGTAAATTACAGCTATATACAGCACAGTGCAGTAGCAATAAAGCAGATACGGTTTCAAATATTGAGACCCTGAGAGACTGTTGTGGAAGTTAAAAGCAGGAGGACATAATTATGCTATTACATGGCATCAGCTATTTCTAATAAGTCCAGCCCCATACACACAAGCACTATCTTATACAGATTATGACCTCATGCAGTTCTCACAGTTTGCAACAGTCTAAGGCATCACTCCATCTCTATTATTACCAGATGAGAAAAGGGCGCTGAAGAGGAAGGGGAGCAGAGATCGAGAACACACATAACACACACACTCAGAGCACAGGTGGTCCTTTTACAGATAAATTTAATTATAATAAAATCTCTTCCTGCAACGACTGCTAACATACCAGAAGAAGTCTGTGTGCACACTCATGCACCTATCAGCCTCTATATCTCAATGCATGAGGGCTCAGCCATTCTTTTACGCAAAAAATAAAAATAAAAAAGTTTTAACAGACTTAAGTTGTTACACAACAAAAATGTCCCATTTAAACGTCACGCACCACAAAATCTCATGACACCACAGTTTTCTTTCCCGATATTGTTTGCCATGGTGCACAGGCTCAATTCATCCGCAATTTTTCAGCCAGGGAAGAGGTGAACGAGCATGGCTGAATGCAGTGCATTCCGAGTTTTCATCTAATTATAAAGGCGTATGCAACAGATCTGAACTATTAAAGCAATGAGCAATATTGTTTTGAGGCATCTACAATACTTTGTAGCGTCACTGACCAACTGCCAACATGTTTCAGTGATTTTATAGTTTTTAATGACTCTCTGTTGAAACAAAGACACCTGAAACAACAATGAAAATTTGTATTTTTTTTTTTAATCTCTAACAAAACTAGGTTACACATATATGGCATTGCAATGCTGTCCAGAAAAACCAGGAAGCTCAAAGAGCAGAGTAGCAGAAATGCTTCAAGCAAGAAATCCTGAATTGATGACAGTAAAAATAAGGAAACTAGTTGCAAAAGCAATGGCTCAAAAACCTGCCCTGTGGATTAAAGTGGGCTAAATCAAATTTGCATCCTCTAACGGCCAAAGAACATGCACAGTCTTTTTTTAAACAACACTGATAAATAATTAGAGGGCCGGCTACATTTGGGCAGCAACCTCAACTTGGGTGTACTTGGCTCCATCTGGACTAAATAAAAAAGGTTTGGACCCTGTCCTCATCTCATGTAAGGATGTAAGGTTTGTTCTACTACGCACCCTCATTACCCGAGCATCTGTTATAATACGGCAGGGTTAATAGAAGGTGATACACAACTAATAGGTGCCAAGGCAGTCATCATCCATCCCTCCAGTTGCAAATCAATATGCAGAGGATTTAATTTGTGATTAATTGCGTGTCTATTTAATATTGCAGGATGCAATTGGAAAAAAGAGCGAGGGATCGTAATGATGATGACCTCCCTCCCAGATCTGATTTCCCCTGATATTAGCCCTGCTGAAACATCAGTCAAGCTCCACGCACACTGTCGCTGGCCTGCTTCGCGCACATGTGCACACACATAGACACCAAGGGGTACGAAACAGGCTTGAATGATGAGAAAGATAACTCGATACACGTCACTGCACCTGAGCCAGATTTAAGGTCACGGGAAAGGGCCACAGACGGTAGCAGATTTACCAATGCTCTATAGGTACACAGTCTGATGAGCATCACTGGGCCTGTCAAAGCAGGTTCCTAATAGTCATTTTTTTTTCTCCTCTAATTCAGGCTCCCACCGACCAGCTGCCTCATGTCCGGATAGATAATCAGTGGCTGTTGATGACAGAGACTGAGACCAGACTAACCAGTAATATTATTACAGCTTGCAATCATTACTGTGTGGATATTTCCTGCTCACAAGCAGACCTGATTGCTCATTAGAGATAAATGTTGAAGCTTTGATGGCCTCGCCTTTCTTAGAACCTCATTAACTTAACCTGAGCAACTTCTATCAAGCTAGAGGTGTAAGGCACGGCCTCTCACTTCTTTTGAGTCCCAGCCACGAGGAAGTTTAGTATGCATGCATGCATTTTTTCTTTAATTCTACACATTCACCAGTCATCACTGCATCTGTAGCTACTGGAACATTCTCCATTCAGCTCCACAAAAACATCGCAAAGCCCACAGCCACCGGCCTGTGCCAAAAAAACAAAACAAAATAAAACAGCTAGAGTCAAATGTGTATTATTGCAGGAAGTTATTTATCACTCTCACACAAACCCTCTGAGCAAATGTACACGCAACACGGTTTTAGGTGCAAAAACCAAAGCCATGAAAACGTGTATCAGAGCACTTCCAGTCACCGAGCTACACTTGTGTGACAGTGTTGACAGACACACTGGGGGCCTTACGTATCTGCTGATGATATTCCGGAGCAGGCTGAAATCCATCCTTTACACGGCTACACTGCGCGACAGAGACGTTCAGCTCTCCCTGGATGGATCTTCGTAAGCGCTACCTCGTGTAGATCTTTCCACGAGGATCCATCGCTCACCTCCTCCACCGTCGCCGCCGCGTGTCTGCGATAACGAGGAGCAGCGGTCTCTCAGTCACTCGGCTGCTCTGATTTTCATGGCATCCCTGGGAAGAGCCATGCAGCCCCCGAGAAATTACAACGACCCCTCACCAGCGCTGCTGGCTACATTTTACACTGAATTTTCAGCGCTTGCAAACCTCCAAACCCGCGGGTGTTCTTGCAGGGTGCTCTCCGTGTGACGAGTTCTTTTATTCTTGCAGGAGACGGTCCCTCGTGGAGTCTGTGTCCTGCTCTGTGTTCCCAGCGGTGGCCCTCGATGTAGCGGTGCTGCGAAACGTCCAAAGCGCTCATCTGTCAGATGACTACGCTGCGCGTGCGCAATGGCATGTCTGGCGTCTCCCGGGATGTTATATTGAATGCTGCACCGAACGAGCGACATCCACATGCAGAAGCACGAGAGGGAAGAAAACGAGCACAGGTCCAACATCATAAACCCCACGTCCTGAGATCACAGCACGATTAAGCCTGTTAGACCTGGACAACTTTAGGTCAGTCTGTTTTAAAGATGGACCATTCAGGTGGAAAGAAATGCTTACTTAAATAAATAAGTAAATAGGCATAATCAAAATTAGAAAATACTCTACTAAAATTCATACATTCAAACTGCAATCACGTAAAAATGTACATATAAAATAAGCAGCTGCTCCTCTCCATTAGTAGACTGTTATGCAGGAAAATGGAATTTACTTATGGCATATTTCAAGTGCTTATTACAGAGTGCTGTGCAAACTTTTTGACATGCACAAATGTGCAAACATTAATGGAAATGTAGTATATAAGGCAATAACAGATTTTGCACAAATGTAATGAGCTTGAAGGTCAGTATTTTGTATCACCATCGTAATTCTTTAACACAGCCTGAAATCTTAGACAGGCTTTCTTGTAATTTCTCAAAGTAGTCTTCTGGAATAGTTGACATGAACGACATTCAAAGCCCTTCTTTGGACACTGCCTTTTGTTCTGTTCTCTGTCAAGAGAACAAAATTCTTCAATACTGTTAAAGTGCAGGCTCTGGGGAGCATAATCAGTGACTGATAGTGTTGCATTGTATGATTTGTCTGTCTGGGTATGCTTTTACTGCACTGGCAGCATACACTTTCCAGATGTTATATCACAGTGGATCAAAATCTGGTGGTACTTTTCCATCAGGCTTGACAAGATACCCAACACTAATGGCTGCAACGCCTCTCCAAACCAGGACAGAGCCTCCACTGTGTTCTACAGATGGGTGTAGATGGTCACAGCTGTACCTCTCCAGACCTCCTCCGCACATATTTACAATGATTTGAATTAAAAATTTGGATACATCACTCCATAAGACCTGTTGCCACTGTCAGCATATCTCCATTCCACAGCTTTTTTAAACGATAGATATGCCAGGTTGTCAGATGATAGCTTTTTGGGAATCACCTTGTTGCTGCAGTATTTTATGCCTCTCAAACTATGTTAACTTTAGATTCATCAAAAAATGGGAACAATTATGTGTTTTTGCAATAGGCTGCTGGTAACAAAGTTCGTAAACATACCATTTAAAATTGGTTCTTTGCTAGGTTGTCTGTTATGTGTAGAGCATTCATCTGAAAATGCTCAGGTACAAGGACTAGACAGAAAATGAATGAAAAAGCAGCCAATGCCCATAGAAAAAGTTGGCTGACTATTGCTTTTAAAATTTGAATCTGCAATTATCTCAGATTTACAGCTATTTCAAGTACAGCAATTAAGCTTAAGTTCAGAAAAAGACCATTTAATTCAGATGTGCCAAACATACAGCAAAGCCAGGTCTGCGAAATTATCCAGTCCTGAACACTGGATACAGAAATTAAACGTTTCAGAGAAGCATTTTTTTTCACTGTTTTTCTTTGCGAATGGATCATGTCATACAAGCTCAATTTCACCCAGTATCGTCACTTTTACCATCCTCTTATTGACAACAGTAAGACATTGCTCATTGACCAGCCATTCCACACAAAGGTAAGATGGATGAGTTGTAAGTGGAGTTGTGACCACTTACTATTTTATCTGTTCACAAGAGGATGTGTTTATATGTATGGACAGAAAATCTTCAGAAAAATGAGTCATGAAGGAAGAAGACCCAAATGTTGTCCAGAATCCAAATCTTTCCTCCAGAAGGATACCATTCAGTGGGGCAAACAATCTAATTGAGGAGTAGGCAAACAACACAAAACAAGTCCACAAATCAGTCCAGAGGCCACACACAAGAACAAACGAGAGGAACCCTGGAAAGCAGGTAAGAAAACTGCAGGTATACAGACGAGGCTGATGACTGCTGTGGCAGACAAAACACAAGCGACACTAGCAAGGGTGATCTGAACAATCACACAAGGAAAATGAACAAAAACAGCAAATAAAACTCACAGGAATGCCCAAAGACCAGCGATAACAAAATAAATCAGGAAACGACTCGATGGGAGAACAACCTTGTTATGTTTATGCAATGGTTTTACTGGTCGAGCCGGTGGTCTGAGCCACACGTGGCCTGTGATCTAAAAGGATGTCAGCAACCCTGACCTAACTTTCCAGAAATAATTGCTCAAATGTGCCAGAGGGAACAGTGTTCTTACTTCATGTTTTTAATAGCTCAATAACAAATAAATCAGAAGTACACTAGAACACACACAAATACAAAATCTGCAGACAACCCAGCAGAAATCAGCCAGCTCTAAAGCACACAAACCTACAGGTGTATGCAGAAATAATATGATGAAGTAGAAACCTAAAATCTAAAATTAGCTCCACATCCATCTGAGGGCATAAATCTGGCAGCAGGGCAGAAACACATGATGTCTTCCCCAGATGCTTTTATTTGTGGAATTATGACTTTCAATTAGCAGTGACGCTATTAATAATGCAGGGATCCAGCACTTTCATGTCTGACCTGCTAATGTTTAATGTGGCTGTTTACATCCCTCAGGGCACTTAATGGCTGATGACGAGCCCACCTCGGCATGCAAATTACACAGTCTTCTGTCTTTATCGGCTGTGACAATTATATGCATGTGTAACGCCATTGTTATGTGATTGAAGTATTCCTTCTTGCCTCTTTTCACCTTTGTTTTCCCACAAAAACCTCATTGATAACAAGGGTTTAAGCTAGCTTATGAATGTCCCCACGGGAGGTATAAAATACTGTAGTGTATGCACTGTAATGTGTGCTATAAGGCTAACAGAGGGATTCCTGACTGATAAAACAATGTTTTCATGTTCACACACTATACCCTTATTATAACAGGAGGAATGAATGAAAACCAAAAATCATTCTCCGAATAGCACATCTGGCTGGATCTGTTGTTTTTGTTTGTAACTGGCCTTAATTTCTAAAGTAAATGGGCCAAAAAATGTACCAAAATTAGCAGCATATGATAATATTTCTGCTGTTGTTGCTGATATCATCACATAGTTCACTGGCTGTAACTGTTCCCTCTGAGAGGAAGAACTAGGTCATTGTTCATTTCTTCCTTCTGTCTTCTGTGTGGGTGAAAGACAGCAGCATATGGGGCAGTGGGTTACTTCTCTGTTGCCATCAGGCTGTTGTGGGCAGAAACTCTTTAACAATTAACTTTTCCTACAGGCTCAAGAGCTCAGATTGCTCAGTATAAGGCATGCTTGTATCATATAGCAATCTTTACACTATAGTACATTCAGTAGTTGCCATGTCAGTATCTTTTTATCATGTTTTAATACTAATTAATCATGAAGTATGATGATATGATCCATAGTCACGTTGATTGATTCATTTGAATTACAGCAGGTTTGCCAGGAATCTTTTTCTGCTAAAGTAAAAATATTTGTTGGTCTTGTAATAGCAGCTAATCTTGTGAGTCCTTCTAGCAGAAGGTTCTAGTATCAGTATCAGTAGTTCATGAAGTGATAACTGTTTACTGTTTTCAAATTACAGAGGATCTAATTATTCCAGTACACGAGCTCTGGTCGAATTCTTGTTGTCTGATCTCATTACAAAGTTTCACTGTGTACTTTCGTGTTTTTAATCGCCATAATAACAAAGTTATTATGTATTGACATATGGACAAAATTACTGGCAGCCTACATTATACACCTATGAGCTGCTCAGCCACTGAAACCATGCCAGAAGCTCCCAGTACACTGTTTGTGTGCTGATGTTAATGCAATAGGAGGTTTGGAGTGCTGGAGTCATTAAGGCGACTTTTACACACTTTGTGTGATCTACCACTTTGTGACTGAGTTGCTGTGGTTTCCTTACATTCACCTTGCATTAAAACTGCTTCCAGTTGATCGTGTAGTATGTAAGAAGGAAAATATTTTATCGTATTACAGTAAGAAGTCTAAATCAAGCCAAAATTTGGTGAGCTCTTTAGTGCAACCGATTTTTTCACAAATATTTGTAAATGTTAAATGCAAGTGCTTGATTTTACACACGTGGCATTGGGAGTGCAAACACCTGAATTCAAAGATAAAGAAATGTGGCCCAGTACTTTTGTACACGTAGTGCATCATTTACAAAGTTGATAAATGCTATGAAAACACTAAGATGGGTGTGATTAAAGGCTTTGTGGTTTAAAGGTGTTTCATAAGTGCTTCTAACTGAAGATAGCTGGCTAAATATTCAAAAAATACTGTAAGTCATCGAGTTTCCATATGCTGACATGCAGTAGGGTAGCCAAACTACTAAAATATTTATAGAAAACATTTTTACATAACTTTTTTATGTGTGTTGTTTGATCATTGGTGCTCTTGTTACATTACAAGCAGCTGACAATGCACTGTTGTCAGCACTGGATACTATTATGCTGTAGATGTGAATTTGTTCTATTGGTTTGCTGACACTGGACATTAAACAATCTGTGAGAAATGGCTGGATCTTTGTCTGAGACATAAGTCTCTTCTCAAAAGCGGTGCAAGGATAAGTATTTTAATTAGAACAACAATAATACATTATTTTAGGTATGCAGGCCTTAAACTTATAATGTTGATTGCAATTCTGTGATTCGTTTAAATAAATATAAAAAGTGTTTGTAAAGCTTCAGTTGTAAGTATCTAATTTGTTTTCAACACAAAATATGACATTCATAAGGGAATGAAGACTGGATTAAGATCAGTTTATGTCGGTGCATTATGAGCTTTGACAGTGAATGTTTACCACAGATCCACTATGGTTATTTGGGAAAATCAAAAGCTTAATAGATTGGCTGGTGAAGGTTAGCTGGAGAGCTTCAGCATGAGCACTCAGGAAACGCTGGTATATGGTGCCATCTAGGGGTCGCCGTGCAAAAGCACATTAGATGCCTCAACGTGCAACACGCTTATATCTGCCCCACGGCGCTGC